ACCTGATTTCCCTGCAGCCAGGTTGCTCTTTTTCTACTGACCCATTGTAAGGTGGTGGTCATCCGAAACACAAACGCAACAGGAAAAGGCAGTGAGTTCCAGCGTTCCAATATCAAGAGAGCTCCATTTAAGCACAGAGTAATTTGTCACTTCATTGATACTGCTTTTAAGTGCTACGTAAGAACAGGACATTTTAAACAAAATGAGACAGTTTGCCTAAGTTGTCTAGTACCCAGTCAATTTTTTTTAATGGTGTATGAAAATAATGGAGTTCATCTAATCAAAGTTAAACATTAGCTTATATATCCCTTTTGTAATTTTCTTTTTACATACACTTCCTCGAAGCAGCTTTAACTGTAGCAGGAAGGGAAAATTCCTTGCATCAGTCTCCTTTGTTTCATGCATCCAAAGCACCTAAGAGCACTTTGGTTGCACAGAGTCTGTGCTTAATCAGCTTCCTTGGTTGGTTGTGGACCTTTCAGACTGCAAGTCATGGGATAAAATGTATCTGTCAAAATTGGCTTGGTTAAGCCTGAAACCACTTCTCACATATGGATTGTATATTATGTTTTTGTTTGGTAAACTGACAGGCTGTCTTTAGGATCTATCCAGTTACTTAAAGATATGCTTACAAGTTTGCAGGTTCAGTGTCAGATTTTTGTAAAATGCTTTTGTGTTCCCTCTGGATAAGTTTAAGACTGCTATAATCGCTATTAGTCTTACAGAGGCCAGACAGATGCTGTGATACAGAATATCTAGCATAAATATTTGGGATATGAGGATTTTACTCATCTTTTATTTAAATATTTTAATGGTTTGATTTATAGTAAAACTTTTAAATGGCTTTGAATTTAAAAAATGTCTGGCTTCTCATCAGAGCACTTAAACTATTTCTCTATTCTGACAGTTTTTAAAGTGGTGGGTTTTGTGTTTTGTTTTGGGTTTTTTTTTGGTTGGTGGTTGTTGTTTTGTTTTTTTTTTTTTTCAATCTCAGTTGTAGCTATTTGTGCCTGTTTTGTTGAGGGGGGAACTGGGGTGCATACATTGGTAAGGGAGAAACTGTCAGTAACTAAAGAGCAGAGGAGTGTCCTGGCTCTGAAGGCTGAGGTTTCTGATACCAACTCAGAATGTGCCTGCCTGAACTTCAGTTTACAGTGGCCTTTGTGCATTTGCATGCTGGAGGCAGCTGGATGCATCTGAGTGGAATTTTCAAAATATAGTAACTAATGAGAAATGAGTATAGTCCTAGTCCTATGACAGTGCAGGAAAAAACTCCCATAAATTTGTCAAACCCAGGATTTAATTTAGGGGTGGTCTTTACGCATTTTTGTTGTTTTTAAAATTTATTTCTACAACAGTGATATTAGGTGATGATAGAGAATTATTTCTTCTTCCTCACACCCCATACCATAAAGAGCACCTTAAATATTAATTTATTTTTTATCTAATTCAACCACATGCCATTATTAATCCATATTAATTCAGCATCCAGGAAAGCTTTGCATATAAAATGTTGACATTATTAAATGAATGTTGGCTGCTACATCCCAGGGTGCATTTTTCTGCCTCTCCTGATGTGTGTGGGTTTTTTTATTGCCTTATTTTTTTCCCTCCCTTTCATTCTGACTGCCCTGCTATGACTTGTTTCTCATTTGCTCAGCCCTGCAGGGGAGATATCCTGAGGGCTAATATTCATTAGACAGTAATTAAAACAATGAAGGATGCATGTTAATGTAAAATGCTACATTTCTTTTGTAATTTTCAAAAAATAAATCTTCCCCTGCATGTATCCTCTTTTAGGAATCTGTCAAAAAGTAGTAGGTAGCTTCTGTCTTTCCCTGCAGATTCCAGAAATCTGTAAGGAGGATTTCGGGCTTCTCAGAAAGGTCTTTTTATAGTGTCTTGTACAAAATAATTAGAGTTCAGAAACAGTCAAGGCTGACGGTCAGGCTTATGAAATTAGGAACAGCCAGTGCTGTGTGTTAGGTTTGAGCTGCAAGGGGACTGGCGGTTGCTCCTCTGCACACAGTTAGAGCTCACAGGACACTTCTGTGTCTCCGGTCAGTGGCTGAAAAATGACGTCTGCAGCTTCATGTCAGTCTTCTCAGGAAAATGAAGGATTGCAGAAGATTGTTTTCTCTACTGCTGTTAAGGGTGGACTTTGTTATTTGGGCACAAGGAATTGGAAGAGGGCTGTCTGGCTGTGTGGGAAGACAAGATCTCTCTTCCCAGGAAGGTGGTTATTGTGAGCTCAGGTGTGCTCCTATTCTGAAGGCACAGGCAAAGCAGCCTTTAGGCAGGTGTAGTTTGCGGACATGAGTGTGGCAAAGTGGGGAGAGAGATTACCTGGAGAACACAAAAGTAATATTTTATGCAAGTGGCTGGGGTAAATACCGGCTTCTCCCATCCACACTTGCAGGGATGTGGCCCTGGTACGCACCCATGCCGGCGGGGCAGCGTGCGCCCCCCGCGAGGCAGGACCCCACCACGGGACACCAGCCGAGTCTGTTCCCTGCTGCGCGGGGTCACCACACAGGACGTTCAGGGTGCAGTTTGCCCTTCGTGATCCTCCTTCCCGCCGCCGTCCCAGGAGGGCTGGTAGGAAAAGAGCTTTCATGCTTCCATCCTCCGCCCCCGCCTCTCCTTCTTGACGTCTTGGACACTTGCCAGCTTGCGACCCGATGCCCCCAAGAAATATTTACTTCCTGTTTTTTTGCTTAGACCTCCAGAGGCCTCATTTTTCATGAATAAAATATGAGCTGTTCTCCTGGAGCCATGAAAGGAGGAAACCACTGCCAGCTGGTGTGACCACTGCTTTTTATTGCTGTGGTTGCTGGTGCCTCTGCCCTTGCAGAGAAGGGGGGAAGAGAGGAAACAGCTCCCAGTTGAGTCTGGGGACTGTTTTCACTGTGAACTGTGCTGTCCGGAGCCAATGCTGAGGAACACCTTGCTTTGTGATACCGTATGGCAAGCAGTTTGTAACTGAGGAATTTAAATGTTTGTTTGAACTGAAGTTTTACTTTTTTTATCTTTTGATCAGCGCACATCACTGGCTTATGTTTAGTTTTCAATCTGTTGTAATGAGAGGATATTTCCCTGGAGTTCAGCCTCCCGCCCTCCCCCTTTTTTTTTGCAACTTTTTGTATTTGTTCAGATGAATGTAGAGTTGTACAATCACTTGTCTTAGCTGTGAATCACATCTTGCTTTTTCCATCTGTTTCCACACTTTATCAAGATTATTTTGCACTAGTTTCATTTTTTTGCTTTTCTTGCAACTCCTCTTGTCTTGGCATCTTGTTCAGATTGAAAATACGTGATATGCAAATAATAATGTTAAATAATAGTACTTACCCCTTGGTGACTGTACTTGTGCTCCCATATTTTGAAGACAGAACTTAGTAGTTGAGGGGAAGGGGTGTCGAATGCCACTTTATTACCCATATAAGTAAATAGCAGTGCACTGTCTTACCCACAAAAGTGTTTAGTACATTCTTCTGGTGCTTTGGAAACTATTATCTCTCTAAACATAATTTGTCCTGGAGATTTTGAGGCTGCCAAGCAAAGCTTTTCATGCAGGTACTGCTTCTGACTATTAGACTGGTACCACAGCCAAGAACAGAGACCAATTCCTACACTGTTACTGCTTCCCACTCTTGATCATTCTCTTAACATAGTTCCTGAATTCAGTACTCATATCAGCTGAGAACAGGCCAGTTTGCTATATATAAGTATATTTTTATAATAGTTTCCAAGTCTACTTTGGGATTTAACTTTCCAATTCTGCATGTATGCTTGCTAGTAATATTTTGATAGAATCTTTAACTGAATGACTAAAAACTTAATTCATCCAGGCAGCACCCTCGCCTGAGAAATGATACTGCCAATATATAAGTGGTGAAACTGAGACAGGAAAGTTTGAAATGTCTTCCCCAAGAAAAGCGAGGTTTGGTTTAGAACGTGGCCTTCGTCCACTATATTGAGTACAATTTACTTATTTCACTAATTACTTATACAATTACATTTGTGCAGGTTTTATGCATGTTTCTATATGCAAATATTGACATGTTTGTACATGGAGAACACGTGTATAACACTATATAGGTATACTTACTTAAATACAAATTGATGGCTAGCTCAAAAAAAGTTCTTAGATGTTAAAAAATAGTACTTATAACCCCTAAATGTGAAGCATAGATTCCCCCACCTCTGCAATGGTTACTTGATTATTTGGTTATTTTACCCACTTCTCTGGGTGCTAAAATGAACCACATACAGTTGTTCAAGTTAATTCTCTAGTATTTCAGTTGTCATTAATGTAAGATACTGTTTACTGCTGCAATATAAGAGGATTCTCAATCAGGTAAATTGCTTCCCAGGCACATAGGGCTATATAAATTGAGTGTGCCGTAAGTCCTCTCTGACTGTATTGTTCTTCAGAGATAACCTTCTTTGTCTGATCAGTGAATTCCTACTTAACAACCTCCTGAAATACATGCTGACGTCAGGTGCTAAAGGTGCTGAAAGCCCAGAAAATCTTACATATTGTCATCAGGGTGAGCATGAGCTGGGCATGAGCTGTTGGCTTTGCCTTTCAGGAGTTGATCTCCTCTAGACAGATGATACAGAAATACAAATGCCACCTGCACTGAGTTACTGCAGCTTATGAGACGTGTTGGAGTAGAACAGACAAAGACAGAGCTGCACACACAATCTTTGCTGTAAAATGAATATATAGCAGCTATACAAACATGTTTGATTGTATGGCTTATCAGTCAGCTTTTTCGTTGGACTTAACTGTTAGTGGATGTGAAGGTTCGATACAATACAACCAGAATACAGCAAAATGCCCTTTATGAACATCCATTGTTTCAGTGCATTGTAATATACACAACTGTACTTAGTAAATCTCATCTCAGGATGGAAATATTATTATTCCTTATTCAAAATAACCTCATGATAAAGGTGCTACTGTGACGGTGATTGAGAGACGGGACTCCTGATGGGTGTAAACAAGAAGTCTTTATTGGCAGCAGCTCTTCTACAATTACACAGTCTCTAGCAATACTTGTCAACATTTGATTGGTCATTACCCTCTGTCCAGGATACGCCAGACAACCCATTGGCTACAAGTTAGTTACTGCTATCCTAAGCCTATTGGTTAGTAAAATCTTACAAGCACAACATCCTATACACTTTTAGCTGAAGGCAAAAATTTTCTACTGCTTAAGGAATGGGCAGATGTTTCTGTTAACTGTAGTCTTGCTTGTTTTCCTTTAGATCAAACTCAGCATTCTTATCTTGTTCCTCCTTCTACATTCCCGTTTGCTGTTTCCAAGGCTTCTGGCCCACCAAGGTCAAGATGTCCTCATCATTCACTAACTGCACAGCACTCTCAGTCCTTCTTCCCAGCGGTCCTCCTACATCTCACTCTTTCTGTCCAACTATTAAGATTCTTTTTACCAATTTATGTATCAGTCTTGGCACACATTGTAAAACGCATGGTAAACAGATCACAATAATCAATAATATGGCCAAAACATAAATTACTGTTTTTATCAGATTTTTAAGCCAGCCAGTAAGCCCCCATCCTCCCAAGTATTTGTCCAAGCCAATCCCCATCATTGGCAACCTGAAGTTTTGCAACACTGTTTTGAAGGGCCTATATGCTGGTGTGAATGGACTGAGAATGATCAGACAGATTCATACAGCATAGACCCTCAAAATACTCGCAACCATGCCCATGTGCTAAAAGTAAAAAATCAATTGCAGCTCTGTTATGCAGAGTGACATGCCTTATGTCATCGTTATCTGTTAATAAGCCTGACAGGGCAGAACTAGTAGTGTTACTTTGTTTAGCAAGCCAACAACCAAGCTTGTTCAAGGTAGCTAATGCCTGTGCTGTGCCAATAGATGGGATAAGGGAGGCAAGTACTCATAGGCCATGGTTTAAAAATTCAACATCATCATTGCAGTCTGGGCCAAACCTTTGCACACTTCGTTTTCCTCTTCTCATCTTAATCATAGATGTCAAATTTACCTTGCTAGAGTGGAACATAGTTAGCCTTCCAAAAGTACAAGGGCCTCCCACAGCTTTTCTGGGTATTCCTTTCCATGCCCTATTTCCACATACTAAAAACAGATTACCTACAAGTCCAACAGCATCATTTCCTGGTGTAATTTGTCAAGGTAAAGTATTACTGCACCATGCCGAGACATTGGCATAGATGCCTGTTCCTGAAACATCAATGCCAATTTTATTAATATATATTCCACTTGAATAATTTAAATAGAAACATGCAAAAGCCTGCGTGGATCCAAAAATGTCTAATTCCTGGGGTTGCAGAGGGAGAGCAGGGAAGTCACCAATTTTATCCAATCCCATACCGCTACTATTGCTGAAAAACCAGCCACTCGGCTGGCCTGGCCATGAGTGTTTTTGCTCACACCACCACTTTGGTTCAGCCTTGCCCGGGGTGGTACAGTTTCTTTGTATCGTCAAATTATATAGGCTATCCCATTCATTTTTACTCAAAGGCACAGCTACCAAACAAGTTTGAAAAGGATTACTGGGGGAGGTCATGGATATGCACAATGTAGATTCATTCAAGGTTCCTGCCAACGTAAGCCAAACATTACCTTCTGGGAAGGGTGGCAAGACAACTGTTTCCCTTCCCTCTAAACTAAATCCTAATAGAAGAATTAATTTGACTAAATAATTCATAATCTTAACGATATACAAATTACATTTCACAGATTAATATAAAATTTATATGCTCTTCTGGAATCCGTTAAAATTGAGATTTGCTGGCTCCTAGTGGAGGTGAGCCTGACTATCTAAGAAGATGAAATCAGGGAAGGGATGTCCGGATGGTCAGGATCCTCCGAAGAAACGCGCAGAGATTCTTGGAATGGTCTCACGTTCTTTGCTGGGATCCACCTTGGCCGTTTTCTGCAGAGACATAAGCATAACCTCTTCCCCACGTGACAAGGGGATAAGGTCCCATGACCTTACCTGTCTCTGGGTCTTTGATAAGCACCTGGGCTTTTTGCTTAATTTCTAATTGAGAATTATTACCAAAATGCCGTATGGGATCCATTAATGAGCAATTTAAAAAATTAAAAACATACAGTGCTTTCTGTAGTCTCTCAGCCGCGGTGGCATTCCCCATTCCCCCTTTCTGTTGTAACAAAAGACACTTAAGTGAATCATGGGCCCATTCTGTTATAGCTTGGCCAGTTGGGGAATGGGGAATTCCCTTATTAGGTGTTTCTCCCCAGAGGGTAAGAAAATTTGCAAGTCTTTGAGAAGTATATGGTGAGCCATTGTCAGTTTTAATTTGTGAAGGAATTCCTAAGATCACAAAGACATTTGCAAAGTGACAACAAACATCCTTTGCTGATTCCCCAATATGGCAGGATGCAAACAAGGCACCCAAAAAAGTATCTATGGAAGAATGAATATATTTAAGTCGGCCAAATTCTGGAAAATGAGTGACATCTGTTTGCCATAATTGAAGACTTTGAAGTCCCCTAGGGTTAACACCTCCTGCAACAGAGGGGAAAGAATGTGTTTGGCAATCAGGGCACACTGCAATAATGCTTGCTGCTTGGCAGTGAGACAAAGTGAAGGTGCGCATAGGGCGGCTGCATTCTGGTGATAAAAGGCATGGCTAAGTTTTGCTTGGGCAAACTGGTCTGGTAGCACTTGAACAGGTAAAGTAAGTAGATGTGGCAAAAAAATCTATTCTATGATCAACAAGGGGTCTGGCGCATTAGGATCCCACTGGTAGACCAAAGCATGGGGTTGCTTGGCAGGATTTAGGATTATTGAAGAGAGGGGCAGCTCAGGAGCCCATCGAGCTGCTTGCCTGCGGCTTGAAATAGCATCAGCTACATGTTGCAATGCTTGGCAAGCTTCTGACCTGAGTTGCCAAGGTGACAAAAGATCTGGTTGCCCTTTCAACAAGGCAAACAAAGGGCTTAGTTCTGCGTTTGAGATTCCTAGCAAAGGGTGAACCCAATTGATCATTCCCAAAAGTTTTTGGGCATTGTGTAATGTGTGAATGTCTGTTTGAATCTGCAAAGGTTAAGGGGAAATAGTTTGGTTCCTAATGCACCAGCCAGGATACTTCCATGGGGGTTGACGCTGGATTTTTTCAGGAGGATGCAAAGTCCAGCTTGAGTGATAACAGCAACTACAAGGGATAGGGCTTCCTCCATGACCTCTTGCTTTTCCGCTGTGACTAAAATATCATCCATATAATGATAGAGGAGAACATTAAGCATTCTCTGATGGATAGGGCTAAAGTCTCTTGCAACGAACCACTGGCCAATAGTAGGGCTGGTTTTCATTCCTTGGGGTAAGACAATCCAGTAGTATCTCTGCAAGGGTGCTTGCATCTTGGTACTTGGAACAGACAAGGCAAATCTGGGAGCATCATCAGGATGCAAAGGAATGGTGAAAAAGCAATCCTTTAGGTCGATGACTGTCAAATGCCAGTCTCGAGGGATCATAGTAGGAGACGGAAGACCAGCTTGCAAGGCTCCCATATCCTCCATGGCAGCATTAATTTTTCGGAGGTCATGGAGCAAGCGCCACTTGCCACTTGATTTTCAGATCACAAACACAGGTGGATTCCAGGGACTAGTAGAGGGGACTATATGCCCCTTTTGAAGTTGTTCTCTGACAAGTTCGTTGAGTGCGTGTAGTTTGGGTAATGGTAGGGGCCACTGATCCACCCAAACACCATCACCAGTTTTCCATATCAGTTTCAGGGTGTCACGCGCCACAATGGCCCCCGTTAAAAATCAGACTGAATTTTAAAACCCCATTGAGAAAGTACATCTCGCCCCCACAACACCATGGGCACCAGTAAAACAAACGGTTTTACAGAGGCTATGTGACCTTCTGGTCCCGTCACCTGAATGAGATGATAACTTTGATAAGTGCGGCTACTTCCTCCAATTCCAGTGAGGGCCTGAGGCACTTCTGTAAGAGGCCAGTTAGAGGGCCACTTGGCCTGAGAAATGACAGTTACATCGGCTCCGGTATCTAAAATACCAGTGAGAGTTATCTGTTGCTCCTGTAATGATAGAGTGCATTTATAGGTGGGTCTTTTGTCAGAAATTGCTTGCACCCAGAATACTTGTGGGGACCCTGTGGAACCAAATCCTCCCTCTCTTTTTTTATGCTTTTCCATAGTAGGGGGCAGCTTTTTGAAAAAAGAATCAATTGTGTGCTACAAGTTCCTTTGGGGACAGTACAAGGTGGAAAAAGGGTCCAAGCCATGATTTTAATCTCACTGCTAGAATCTGAGTCTATGACCCCGGGAAGAACAAAAAGTCCCATAAGGGTGGTTGAAGACCTCCCTATCAGCAAGGCACTCTTCTGGAGCCCTGGGGGACCAAAAATTCCTGTAGGGAGTAAATGAACAGAAGAGTCTAGCAATGTTACTGTGGTTGAGGTTGCCAGGTCCAATCCTGCGCTGCCTGCAGTTGCTGGGTGAAGATTTGAGGGGAACATCCATTGGGTGTCTGCGACGGCGGCCGAGGCATCTGTGTCTGCGCGCGGCGCCGTCCCGCGCTCCGGGTCCGTTTTCCCTGAATCGGGTGACCTTCAAAATCATACTTAGAGCGACATTGGTTAGCAAAGTGACGGCCTTTCTGGCACCGCGGGCATACAGCAGAGGCTTTAGGCTTAGCTCCTTTCAGAGCAAAGCAGTCCTTTTTTATATGGCCGGGTTTACCACAGCCAAAACAAACTCCCTTATTTCCAGAGGGGCCTTTAAGGGCTGCAAAAGCTGCAGCCATTGCTTCATATTTATGGTCGAATGTGCCAATACGATTACATGCTTCAATCATTTCAACCAAAGTTGGGTTCTGATTAGGCAAAGATTTAAGAAGTTTCTTACAATCATTGTTTGCATTCTCAACAGCAAGTTTTAAAAGCAAAATTTCACGAGCCTGAGGGTGATCAAGCTGACACTCAAGCGCTTGCTTAAGACGGTCAACAAACTGCATGAAAGATTCGCGGGGCTGCTGCACAATAGTCGTGAATGCCTTTTGTGGCTTCTGTGCATCGGGGACCTTAAGCAAAGCCTGTCGTGCCGCCTCACAGATTGCCTCCAAGGCTTCCCGCGGGCAATCTCGGGCTTGGGCAGTAGGGTCTGTATGAGGCCCCGTTCCCATGAGATGGTCCATTGTAAGGGCTGCCATGGCTGGATTATTATGGCCTATGTAATTCACAAGAAGAGCTTGAAGCCCTTTCCGCCATTCAGTCTCCCACAAAGCATATTGGGTGGTAGGCAACAGCAACTGAGCAAGTGATTTGAGATCGTACGGAGTCATAACATAAGCACTAAGTACAGAACTTAACAGGCTGGCAAAAAACGGAGAGCCTATACCATGTTCTGTCACTGTCTGTCGGAGTTCCTTAATTACCGAAAAGGCCCCTTCTTTCAGTGCCTGTTGTTTAAGGCGAGCCCTATTATCGCAGGAATCAGGGGGGTAAAGATCTGGCTCTTTCTCAGGATCAATAAGTCCAGGGTCAAAGGGGTCTGAATCTTCATCCTCGCTATCATCCGGGCAGTAGCCTGCCGCGAATGCTCCAACAGATCGCGAAGGCTTTCTCCCCCCCTCGCTTGTAAGGGCGGGGGCTGAGGGTTGCTCAGGAGGAGGCGCGGTAGGCTCCGTCACAACGAGGGGGTCGGAGATACTCCCCTTTTCACTTGCATGAGATTTTTCTTGTTCTGATATGACTTCAAATATTGTCCTCCATGAAGGAAGCATACTCGCAGCCACTTGGTCTCCTTTTGTTGCATAATGCCATAATTTAACCCCCACCCGATCCCATAATTCCTTCGTAAAAATTGAGGACGGGGTAACTCCCGGCAGTTTAGACGCCGTCCATTTCAACATGACCTTTAAGTCATGCGAAGGCAAACATTTGCCATGCTTTTCTAACAGCTTAGTCATAAGTTCAAAAACGTCTCTCTCTTGGGTAGACATTCCGTGACCCATGTTCCGTGCAGCTCACCTCCTTATCCTGGAGGGATTGATCGCCGGCTCCTGCTTCCTTTCAGCAGCACCTCAGTCCCGCGGGGCTCACCATCGGCCGCTCAGCCTGGGCAGCTCCTGGCTCCTCACACCGGGCACCATTTGACGGTGACTGAGGGATCGGACTCCTGATGGGTGTAAATAAGTCGTTTATTGCCGGCAGCTCTTCTACAATTACACAGTCTCTAGCAATACTTGTCAACATTTGATTGGTCATTACCCTCTGTCCAGGATACGCCAGACAACCCATTGGCTACAAGTTAGTTACTGCTATCCTAAGCCTATTGGTTAGTAAAATCTTACAAGCACTTTTAGCTGAAGGCAAAAATTTTCCACTGCTTAAGGAATGGGCAGATGTTTCTGTTAACTGTAGTCTTGCATGTTTTCCTTTAGATAAAACTCAGCATTCTTATCTTGTTCCTCCTTCTACATTCCCGTTTGCTGTTTCCAAGGCTTCTGGCCCACCAAGGTCAAGATGTCCTCATCATTCACTAACTGCACAGCACTCTCAGTCCTTCTTCCCAGTGGTCCTCCTACACTACAGAATGTAGTGTGCATACACATGCATGTTGAGTGGAAGCAGTGCAGATGAACTAGACAGGCAGGATTGTAGGTTATAACTCTGTTTATTAGAACTGGAATTTTTTGAAAATGAATGTCTGAAAAGACATGTCAGCTGCCAGAAATAGTCCTTATTTCCCCAATACATCAGCCAATATAACCTTGAACAAGGCATTTGACTTATGCAGCTGTAAAACAGGGTTAAAGGCCTGAATATAATTGGAAAACCAAACGCTGCAGCAAAGTGGATCTTTCTTGAAGAAATAAAAGATTTACAAACTAAAACCTTAGTTTGATCTTAAGGTCATTAGGATCTTAATGGCATCCCATTGCACCTGTGTTCTGCAGCCTCAAAAACCATATAATGCAGGGAAAGGCCTGATCCTGACAGGGGGCTGCGCACCTCTAAGCCACAGTACAACAGTGCACACTTGGTATGGAGTTGATTTTCCTGATGTGTCTAATGTAATTAATGTCACAGGGATTGCTCATCCACATGAAGTTAAACCTGTACTTACGACTTTTTCTAAATTGGGTCCTCAGTTCCCTATTGGAACCAGCAGACTGGGAGCATGATGTGCTTCCCAGCACCAGCTGCTCGGATGAGATTTCTTTGCAATGGGTGACAAAACCATCTTCCTCACTGATACGATCGCAGAGCCTGCTGCAGGTTGAAGGGTTGTGGAGATGGGAAAAGATTGCAAATAATCTGCTGGTGCTGAGATTGGAGACTGGCTTCCAGCAGAGCTGGGTGGTGGCACATCCTTGCTAAGCCCATGGCTTTGACAGTCTGCAGGCACAGTTCCCATGAAAACAAATGCCAAAATTCTTGTGGGACAGGTCTCGTTTTGTGTGGGGAATGACACCCACCTCCTGCAAGCCTATACTGGTATGGGAGAAGTATTTCACCCTTCTGTCTGCTTCTGTGATACAGACTTACAGTAATTTTTATGCACTCTGCACCTCAAAAAAATACAGTTTCAAGGCAGTAATGATGGAATTGATCCAACAAGGTTCTAGTTTCTTTTGATCTGCTGCCAGATTGACCTGCTTACGTACTTCTAGATCTACCAGGTACACAAACTGATCTTTAAATACAGTGATACGAGGCTTTTTGCAATGTGGGGATAAGGAAAGTAAAACTTCCCTGAAAATTTGAAGTGCTTTTTACAAAGGTTAACATCTAATATCCTCTATTTTCTATGAAAACAGCTGCAGAGCAGAGCCCTGCATTACAAATCTTGGCTGTTCTTTCCCAGATCAATCATGTCAGCCCTGTGAAGGAGGATCTGCATGAGCTGTGAATTGTAAGTGTATTGTCAGACTTCAACTCCTTGACTATTGGGACCTGAAGGTCACTGCAGTATGTCATTCTCAAGGCAATTTTCTCTGGAATTGCAATATGTCCATGGCTTTATTTTATGACTTTGATGTCACAAAGTATTAATAATCTTGTAAAACAAGCCCACTTGCAAAAAAAAAAAAAAAACAAAACCAAGATTTGATAATTTATTTGGGGTTTTTTGGTCAGAATTTATAGTCTGCTTAAATATCATAGCTTTTGGTGTGATACACAGGTATGGATGCAAGTGCATGGGTTTCTCTGCCATACTTGCCTGTATACAAAAAAGAAATGCATTTTCAGTCTATTGAGATGGCAGCTGTTTCCATGACATTTTAAGCCCAGTTTGCAAATATCTTCATCTCTTTTCTTCAGCTGTACATACAATTTGCATGCCAGATGTGTGTGACATGGCTTAATATTTTTAAGTGTTTTTCACAAAAAAAAACGTCAATTACTTTCTTATTTCCTTTCTTCAATAAATATCTCAGTAATCCACTCTTTCTTTTCTTTTACCACAAGCATTGTTACTTGTATTGCAAAGAATATACAAATATATAAATATATAAAAATAATAAATTAAAGGTACAGGCAAATTACCTAGTAGAACAGACCAGAAGCCTGTTCAAGCAAACATCCTCTCTGAGAAGATGACTTTTATCACAGGCTCAAATAAAAGAGAGGCAAACAATCAAACAGTTACAGAATCTGTCCAGAGAAGCTTAATTTTCATCAAGAGATAAGGGTTGTCTCATACTTTTTTAATTCTAATAGAAATTAACATAGCTACTGCTGCAATATAATTGTCTTAATTACCTTTAATATATTCTGGCATTGAGTTCTACATGTTACTTTAATTGTATTTTTCCACTTATTAACTTTATATTTGTTGCCACACTCCTCAGATTTTATTTCCTTTAGAGAGGGTAAAAGAACACAAAATTTACCTCTGTTCCTTTCATTCTTTTGTATCTTCACAGCGAACAACTTGGCATTTTCCACCAGCCAAATCTGAGGTGTGTATAGTGGATTTGCGTTGTCTGAAGCTGGGACTGCAATGCACGCTGGCGTGACTGACGCTTGCAGAGAGGGACACGTAGCACAGTCTTGTCAGGAATACTGGGCATAATTACTGCATCCCATGTTTCTAAACACGGTTTTTGTGTGTCTGCATGCCTTTCGTTGTGAAAAGGAGTAAACATGTGCTTTGTGGGTGCTGTGAGGACTCTTGGGTTAGTGGCTGCAGTGCACACTAAAGATCAGGGCTAGTCAGTTCTGATAGGACTGAGGACTGAGCACTTCCAGCATTCATTGAGCTTGTCTGTGAGTATTTGGGACTGAGACAACTATTAGAGTGGGCAGCACAAGCTATTTTAACATGTACATTTCATATTTAGTCTGGTCAACTCAAAGCACTTTACAGATCAGGTTGTTATAAAACAGTTTGGGTTGGAAGGGACCTTAAAACCCATCCAGTGCCACCCCCTGCCCCGGGGAAGGCCCCCTTCCCCCAGCCCAGGGGGCTCCCAGCCCCGTCCAACCTGGCCTTGAACCCTTCCAGGGAGGGGGCAGCCACAGCTGCTCTGGGCACCCTGGGCCAGCGCCTCACCCCCCGCACGGGGAAGAATTTTTTCCTTATATCTAATCTAAATCTGCCCTCTGTCATTTTAAAACCATTACTTCTCATCCTACCCCCGCCCCCTGACCCAGAGTCCCCCCCCACCTCTCCTGCCCCCCCTTTAATCCCTGGGAGGCCGCTCGAAGGGCTCCCCGGAGCCTTCTCTTCTCCAGGCTGAACCCCCCCAACTCTCTCAGCCCGGCCTCCCAGGGGAGCTGCTCCAGCCCCCCCAGCATCTCCGTGGCCTCCTCTGGCCCCGCTCGAGCAGCTCCGGGTCCTTCTGCTGTTGGGGGCCCCCGAGCTGGCCCCAGCACTGCAGGGGGGTCTCCCCAGAGCGGAGCAGAGGGGGACAATCCCCTCCCTGGCCCTGCTGCCCCCCCTGCTCTGGCTGCAGCCCAGGGCACGGGTGGGTTCTGGGCTGCGAGCGCACGGGGCTGCCTCACGGGCAGTTTTCCCCCCACCAACCCCCCCAGTCCCTCTCCCTGGGGCTGCTCTCCAGCCACTCCTCGCCCAGCCTGGGTTTGTGCTGGGGGTTGCCCCTCTCCAGGCTCTGGGCACCTACTGCCAGCACTGGCATCAATCTGGTAGGAGTGGGATGGATTGAGGTTTCACTCCTGCAGCAACTTGATCTTAAAGCCCTGCTCACCACCTTGGCAAGGCCGTGGCTGAAGATGCTCTTCCCCTTCTCCCCAGCAGCCCAGGTTTCTCAAAGTGAGTCTCATGGTCTAAGCAGCCAAACCCGGGGCTGTGGCACCAGTCCCGTAACAGATTCGACTGGTCCTTTCTAACCCTTTCCCTTTGACCAGGAGGACTGATGAAAAAAACTACCTGTGCTCCAGAGTCCCTTATCACCACTCCCAGGGCCCTGTAATCCCTCTTGATACTCCTCAGAGCGCTCCTGGCTGTGCCACCGGTGCCCCCGTGAAACAACAGCAGCGGATAATAGCGGAGTGTACGGGGCTCGGTGGTCTCTCGGCAGTATCATTATTCCTCTGTCACAGTTAGTGAAAACAGTTGTTGAGATGGAGGGAGTTTCCATTTTACACCAGCTTTAAAACCAGAAACCAGATTAGAGTCCCGTATAGTGCTCTATAAAAAGCCATACTGGCAGCATTCTCATGGTGATTCTTCCTTCTTGGAACATAGAATACAATTTCTGTAGTGCAATTAATAAAACTAAGTTGGCAGGAAACTGAAGAAGTGTGTGCAAGTCCCTGCATCTGGGTTACATCATGGCATTTGACAGACAAAATCCGCATTATAAAAGATTTTCTGTAATAAATACTCTAAAGCGAAAATGAACACCTGGCAAAGGATCAGGCTTTCTCAGCCCTTCTGCATCCGTTTTAGTAAAACTGGGATTTTTGGGAGTCCTTTTCACCTGGCAATCACTGCAGCAATATCCAGTCAGTGAGAGAGGTCGGTTGGGGCATCTTGCTACTCTGCTGTCACAAGACATATTATTTCTGCGTAAAACAAGAATATAAAGATATCACACCGATTCTTTAAACCTTTTAATGTCATACTGAAGAATGACAGCTGGGATCAGTGGATGGTTGAACAGGTTGATGGTGGATACATACTGTGGTGGGAAACCCAAAATTCTAACGTGGTAGATAGTTC